GGAATACGTTTTACTTCAGGTAACAGAAAACCCAACTACAGTGGCTTAAACAAATAGGATGTTATTTATCTCACATAATAAGAATTCCAGAATGGCATTTCAGGGCTTGTTTAACTGCTAACAGATGTCATCAAGGTCCCAGGCTTTTCTGTGTTTCTATTCTTGCAAGTTGGGCAGTAGGATAATCTTGTCAAAATGAAAATATATCCCAGGCATTGTATTGTCTAGTGTTGTATGAGGTGTAGGTTTGTTGTAAGAGTAGTAGGTTTGAAACTATATATACCTCCTTAAACAGAAATTTGAGATTTCATTTCCTTTATAATGTACTTTTTGAAGAAAGAGGTGAAAGGTGTTCCCAAGATGTTAGGGAAGTCTTTTCTGAAGTGTCTGGTGATCTTTGACTATCTCTTCTTGTTTAAATCTGAGGCACTAAAAGCTGATTGGACATCATGCTTGGGGGGATTATTGACAAGTGTTGACTGAAAGGTGACCTGGCTGGCAATTTTAATAGGAAGGAGCCCTCTTCCCCAATGTTAATGTTTGTAGATCTTCTCTCTACAAACATCCCCCAGGGAGGAATGTTCCAGACTCTTTGGGTGGGGAGTAAAAACCAGACTGCCTGTGTTCCAGGAGCCAAGTGGAGTAGGGAGCTGAGCTGGGGACAGGTAGATCTGTCTTGCCAGTCAGTAGAGACTTTGATTTAATACTCCTGTCTTTAGTACATTTCCTACCCCGACCGTTAGCCAAGCCTAGCGTCCCAAGTTCTGGTTCTCCAATTTACCTTTTCCAGAGAGTAAAACATGCTGGATGTGGTGGAGGAAGGGCAGCCAAGGAAGGGCAGCCCAGGAAGGGAAAAAGTATTTTTAAATGGATTTTAAAAGCCATTCCTCCTGTTTCTTCCCCTGCATTCCCATGTTTTGGAGGTACCTGGCGCCTCCTGTTCTTGAGCCTTTGGTAGTGAGGATGGGAAGGTTCTGTGGCTCAGGTGTATTTACTTTCTGCCTGCTCCCACCCCGAGTCCCTTGCAGCCTAGCTCTGGCCTTTTCCATCTCTTAATCTGGTTTCGTGGCTGCTGTTCCATCTCCTGCTTGAGTACTTGTGGGCTTTTGCCTTTTCTGTCTTTCATCATTTTCGTGGAGAGGGAAGGAGATAAAAATGCACATATTGGGTTCTCTCTTGCTTAACTGGAGATCTGGCATACGTTATTTTTCTTTAAAAGTAGAATTATACTATCCATATGTATTTGAAATCTATAAAATTCATTTAAGTAGTTCAATATTTGTTGAATTTTAGCTGATTCATGTAGAAATGGGAAACTCTAGATTTGTTAAAATGCGACTGTGAGCTTTTTAAAAAATGTCTTTTTAATTTTCAGATTGTGAGCCATGCCTTTAGTGAAGAGGAACATTGAGCCCCGGCACCTGTGCCGGGGAGCCCTGCCCGAGGGGATCACCAGTGAACTTGAATGTGTAACCAATAGTACTCTTGCCGCTATCATTCGCCAGCTAAGCAGTCTCAGTAAGTCGTCTTTTTTCTGATTACCAATGACATTTTATTACTTTTATGTTAGCAAATTGATTTCAATGCAGTAGTTATGTGATTGTCCAAAGAAGAGACTACAGCTTTAGAGGAAAGAACCTCCCTCTCCCCTCCACATTTCCCCATGTGAAATTAACCACTGCACCTGAACTGGGCTTGTGATGCCCAACTTTATGTGATGATGGTGCAATGCTAAATTTACCAACTCATAAGTTATTAGATAGGATTAAATATGTAGATTTAAAATACTGTTAATTTTTTAAAGGTTTTTAAAATGAAGATAATTCATAGGTTTTTTAGTGAATTATTTTGTTAAACTTGAACAGTTTAACAGTTGTTTAAAAAAAAAAACCAATTGTTTTTTTAAAAAAGTAACATTGAAAACTTACTGTAATATGCCCGGCACATAGTAGGTGCTCAATAAATATTTGTCAGTTGAATAATATTCCAAATGAATCACTGAATAAAGCCAAAAGGCAGTAAGATTTGTTGATTTTAATCTACTAAAAGTTAAAATGCAGGTACTGACTTCCAAATTGAGGTCAGTGGATAAACTTATTATTACATTTATACGGTTCCATGCATGTATTTGTATCCAAACACAAGTATAAGGAAGAAAAAACTTTCTGTCATTTCAATTTAAACAGTAATATTAAATATCCAAGGAATATTCCATTTGGGGGGATTCAAATATGCGTGAAAATGCTTTTTTCTTTAATGCTTTTTGAAGTTGCAGTATTTTCCCCTCTTACATTTATGTCGTGATCTCGTTTTCTCACTTCATCCTACTCCTTTTCGGTTTAGATGGCTTATGTGTCATTTTTGGTGACAGGTTTTCACAGTTAAATTTTTCAGAAACTCTGTTAATAACTAGAAAATCCTCCATGAAATTCCACATACTGGTATCCTCAAGCACAGGGGAATTATTTTTTGAAAACTCAAGTATTTTTATTTATTTTATAGAAGAAACACTGCAGATAAGTATTTGTTTCTTTAAAAGAATTGTACTATATT